GAGTTGAAGTCCACATATCTTAAAGTTGCAAAGGTTGAGGAACACTGTATTGGGGGGCTTCCTTCTTTTTTCTTTTTGATGTATCATTCTTAGCTGGTCAGGAGAACACATTCTGATCATGGCAATAAAAAGGTTAGTTGATCACCTGGAGAGTTGATTGTATCTTGGGAAAGAGAAAGGGGAAGGAGAAGAAAACCTGTAGAAAGAAAAGAATATCTGAATGGTCCTTGTCTCCCAGAGACATAACCCCAAGGAAAACCTTCCGAGCTTCAAAGAACTGGGATCTAAGATAAATGTAGGGTTTCTGCTCATGATCTCTCTGGGTTGACAGTGTGTTCTAAGCCATGGGTTTCTGAACTAACCATAATTGGCCAGATTCACACAACACGTTCAGTCAAAATCAATTCGTATTACAGCTTTGTGTCTTGTGAGAACCAGGCCCAAATCTGGCTTTTTATTATACATTTTGGCTTTTGGTTGCTATTCCTTGTACACTGTCTAGAATTATTCTGGTGATTGAGGCAGCTAATAAATTGATTATGAATCTATTAGACATCATCAACCTGAATAAGGGTTGGGGCTTTCTTTCCCACCCAAAATTGTCCTCTCAGTGGAGCAGCAATCATGTCATGCATGCTTTCCTTTCAGAATTTTCCTCTCATGAGCCCATTCTTCCTGCAGTAATGGTTTTAAAGGCTCAGCAATACCTTTCATGCCAGCTTGCATTTTCCCCTCACATACTCCCCAAACAGCAGTTGGTTCATATTAAATCCCCATAATTCCCTTCAGAAGAAAAAAGCTTGCTGTTATCACCTCTTTCTTTTCAGCTTTCTTCAAGAAATGTATCTCTAATCTTTTTTTTGGCATGGTTTCCACAACACACTAAACCTTGGTTTAATCATAGTTTCTAGAGTAATTGGCCATTTCTTGGGCTTCTGTTACATGGCATTCTTTACAAACCACAGTAGCTGAGCTAGGAAAACAGTTAACTGAAAAACAAATGCATGATATAAACCTAGTCAATACAGTGGTACCTCTAGTTACAAACTTAATCCGTTCTGTGACTCTGGTTGCAACTCGAGTTGGTCGCGAGTCAAAGTAAATTGTTCCATAAGTTTCACTGTAAATACTGTTAATCCGTTCCTCCCTCCGAATTTGGTCTCGCCACGAGGCAAATTTCCCCATAAGGTTCAATGTAAATACGGCTAAACAGTTCTGAAACATGCATTTTATGTTTAAACCTCAAAAACCTGCCAAATGCCACAAAAACCTTCCAAACGCCACAAAACACACCACAAGCCTCACCGAACGTCTCCTTGCTACCGCAATCTTGCCCACAGGAAGCCGCGACTGCGTGGCAGCAGGGAAAATGGCCGCGGATCCGGTTCATAAGTAGAGGCGGAGTTCGCATGTCGAGGTAAATTTTTGGGGCCGAAGCTGGTCGTATCTCGAAAAATTCGTAAGGAGGGGCGTTCGTACCACTGCATTAGTCTTTCTCAACTGTGTTATGCTTTTCAGTTATGCTGGATTACCACTCTCCAAATTCCTAATCAAGGCCAGTTACTGCTGGCTGGGAATTCTGGGCACCAGGCTGGGGAATACTGCTCCATATGATTCCACTAAATTGTTGGATGTCTTTCAAATTTATTTTTAACTCCAGATCTTTTCACGACCCCCCCCCCCGTTTTAGTATCACCTTTATTCACCATTCTCTACTGCAGTGTTTCTCAACCATGGCAACTTGAAGATGTCTGGACTTCAACTCCCAGAATTCCCCAGCCAGCATGCTCTACTGGTTTCCTTGCCAAGATACCAAGTATATCACCAAAATTTCCCTCATTATTCTACTGAGAATGTTGTTTCACAAACAGCTCCATTTCCATTTTCTTTTGGAAACAAATTCAAACTCCATCATTTTATAATACACCCCTTAACTAGTTCATAACCTGAGAAGAACTGCAGAAATCATGGCCAGTTGTTATTTCTTTAATGAGGAGCGGCTGAGCGAAGTCTTCTCCATCTTCTCCTCATGATGAGACTTGTTCTCTCGTTTCAAATCCCTGAAGCACTGGTCTCTCCCTTTGCATACAAATTCACAAATGAAACTGATTTGGCAGCTAACCATGCAAAGGCTTTACAACCCCTGCAGGCAATAATACATATTTTGACACTTTAGTTGCAACAATTTAGCAGGTGGGATTACTCCATACTTTGCACAATATTCTACAAAAATGAACCTTTTTGAATTTATCCTTTACACTCTTTAAATCCTGATACCATGAAGAAAATTATGGCATTTTATTCCCAGGAATTTTTCCCATTCATAACTTGCAATGTGCTTGACCAAAACAGGAATAGATGTTTAGTTCATGTAAGTTTTTTAAAGCTATTTTCAGAACTTCCTTCATGCACAAAGTGACTGTGAAGAAAAATAAAATGTGACCACATTCTTAACTGGAACATTCAGAACAATTTATTGAAGTCAACCTCAAGCAAAGATTTAATCAGTGGAATGTCATTTTAAAAACCTTTCCAAATTAATGTTCACGGAAGCAAACACACATCTGAATTCCAAAGTATTTGTAAAATAAAAAAGGCAACATCTCAGTAAATATAATGTACAAAAATTATATGTTCCTACCATCACTCACATTCAGTAAGAAGCTAAAATATTACAGGCAATTCTAGATACACTATGACTAGTAAACAATGAACTATCTATATACAAGTTAACCAAGCTTTATAGATGTCACACTATGCAAGAGAACATAGGCTAAACAACAAAAACCTCCAAAATGTTGTTAAGTCTCAAAGTCTATGCAGCAACATCAATTCATAATACAGTAATGTCCCCATGGATCACCCCCAGGGAAACTGAACACTACTTGTTAGTGTTGAAATCTTCTATCTGGGTTTGAGAAACTCCTAAGATATTGATTTTTAAGTGAATATCAATGATTCTGCTATTAAAGACTCTGGTGATTTTTGTTAAAATAACATTTCACAGAATCTACAAAGTTTGGTACATAGTAACAAGATCTACAGAAATAACGATTCTACAAAGTCATTGTTACAGATAAAGAGTACACAGGAATGGAGACAATCTGTTGGTATTGGTGTCTGTTGTGCAATATCACATGTGTGGGTACAAATGGATTTTGTCTTTTTTTTTTTTAATCTTCTATAGCAAACTCAGAATAAGCACATACCCTTATAAACAGTAAAGACACATTCTTGTTACTAGCCCGTCGTAATAGCTATTTCACCAACTTGGTTTTCAATGGCAAGACAAGTTATTTGTTTCAGAAAACAGGGCGGTGAAGAAATGACATTGACCAGGTACAGATCAACATGGAGGAATCGAAAGCAGACATAAAGCTTTTATCCAGTTAGTTCTTATTGAGAAATAATTCTCCGAGGATGCCTGGTGTCAGGAGTGTGGTCCAGGGGTTCGGGGAGGATCCAATACTGTGATCTAACTTTCCAGCAAGAGAAAGAGAACCCAGTAGAAACTCCCCGCTTCCATTCCTGTGTGCAGGGACCATTAGGAGGCCTAATGGGAAGCAGTGAACAAGCAGCTTTGGCAAACTGGCAGTTAATGGTATAGACCAGTGTTTGTCAACCTTAGCCACTTTAAG